GAGAGAGAGAGAGAGAGAGAGAGAGAGAGAGAGAGAGAGGGACCTGCGGTTGTGGTGGATGCCGGAATGTGGGGTTATGGGGGTCGGTGGGCGGTGAGGGTGCGGTTATTTAGGGGTTGAGTGGGGGGTTCGGGGTGTTGAGGGGTTTGGGTGTTTGGATGTTTGGGTGTCAGAGGGCGGTGGGGGGTGTGGGGCAGGTTTGGGTTTTTTTTGGTGGGGGGGTTAGGGGTAGCATTGTGTGCATATGTGGGGTGTTGTGCAAATGGACCCCCCTCCACCCCCCCCAAATAAAATTTATATCGACCACCTATACCCCCGTTGGGTTTTTTTTTTTTTTTTATGCAGATTGGACTTCACGGGGGTGCCCACCACGTCCGCGCAACCCCCCTCCCGCCCCGATCCCGACCTGTCGAGCCGCCACGTGGCCGGAAAGCCCATGAACAGCCATCAAACAACCACCACTCTTGAACTTGAAGATCTGATTGACCTGACCCCTTTAGACTGGGTCTGCATCCTTTGGAAGGGGCCCACCCTGCAGGAGAGCGATTGGGTGGCCATACAAGACCAACCCCAAGTGATCGGAAACGTGGTGGTCCTGGTGGACAGTCACCCAAGTGGGGAGGTCCTGCTGAACCTCTTCAGCTCCGGCACTATAATACCCTGTACAAACTCCATCCGGAAGAGACACACTGGTTCCCAAGACCTGTGCTTTTCACTATCAGGGTCTTGCAGCAAAAACACCTCCATCTGGCCTTTCGGGCCTAAGCTTCTGGCCAGACACCCCCATATCCCAGTTGCCACTCGACCAAGCCAACTAGCCCTCGGCGAACACCGTCAGACGACAGGGCAAGACCTGCACCCAGACCCTCCACAGTCTCAGGCTGTCCGTCGAGTCCACTTACCGCACGCTCAGTCAGACGAAGGACCAACCTGCGGGACCAAGTGGAAGCCCGTTGGAGGAACCACTTAAGTCTTAAGCACCGGCAACGAATCCCTGCGGCCTATCAAATGGTTTCACGCAATCAAAGCTAGACCAGTCACCTGCGAAATTCGCCTTGCTGCAATGGCAGGTGGACCACCGCTGGCTGCCTACAAATGACTGGCTTATTGACCGGACCTGGCGGACCTCCCTCGAACAGCGGGGGGTATCCCTGCCTCGGCGCAGATTTTGCAGCTCAGCGTTCCAAGCCAAGAATATCCTTGAGACAATAGAGCATATCTTCCTCCAATGCCCAGCAGCCCAGGGGCCGTCTGGCTCTGGCGGTGGTGGGACCGGATATGGGGACAGCCGGGAACAACCCATGCTTGGCCATGGGATTGGTGGGTGCTGCTCTGCAAAGACCAGCCCAGCGGCCTCACACTAAATTTGTTCAAAACAGGGCGATGGGCTGTCTTATGGGCCCTCTGGTGGTGCCGCTGCACCGATGAAACGGAAGGGGTGCGGTTGGACGGCACTGACTTCAGAGAACCAATCAAAGAGCAGGTTCAAACTGAAATCCATCGGAGAATCCAACAATTCAATAGCAGCTGGCTTGGGAGGACCTCACGGGGTCACCGTGAAGATAGGGAAAGTGGTATGGAAAGTGGGGGCAAAGAGAGCATGATCAGGGACTACCGCCTTGTCTTCCAAAACTGGACCACATTGGATGCGTCTATACCGCTGCAGCCCCGCTTGGACTTCCCGGACGGTCGGACCTATTCCCTCCATCGGCCTTGAGCCTGGAGGATCGGAGTCGGTACGGGGCGGAACGAAGCCGACAAGGGCTTAGGGTTTAGGGTTTAGGGTTCACTGTTAGAGAGGGTTTTTTTTTTTTTTTTTTTTTTTTTTTTTTTTTTTTTTTGATCTTTTTTTTTTTTTTTTTGAGAAGTTGTAGCTTTAT